TTGCTCAAAACTCAATTTTTGGTTTCCTCATATCCGGAAAACTACCGGAATCTCAAACGAAATCAAATCAAATTTCACTTTCAAACTTGCATATTTATGAAATAAATATTGACAGCGAATTGAAACGGTTTTGGGAGTTAGAAGAAGTACCAAATTCAAGTGACACTGTATTCTCACCTGAAGAACAATTTGTTGAAACGCATTTTCAGGAAAATTACTCAATTAATTCAGATGGTCATTTTGTTGTGAAGTTGCAATTTTTAAAATCTAAATCTGAATTATGTAATTCAAAACCAGCTACACTTTCTCGATTATATGCTATGGAACGTAAATTTAAGGAAAACTCGGAATTTGAAGACCAATACAAGGATTTTATGCATGAATATGAAAATTTAGGTCATATGGAATTGGTCATACAAAATTGTTTAAATATATTTCAGAATGAGCAATATTTCCTTCCCCATCATGCAGTGATCAAGCCGTCTAGTACAACTACCGAATTAAGAGTCGTTTTCGACGCTTCATGTAAAACTTCCAACGGTAAATCATTGAATTCAATCTTGGGTGTTGGTCCTAAATTGCAACGAGACATTTTCGAAATTTTACTTAATTTTCGATTTCCGTTCCGAAATAGTCTTTTCAGCAGACATAGAGAAAATGTACCGTCAAGTTTTAGTGTCCGATGAGGATTGGAACTACCAACAAATTCTTTGGAGGTTTAATCCTAACGAAGAAATACGCACATACAAGTTAAACACCGTAACATATCATTTAGCTCCAGCTTCTTTCTTAGCCACTAGGTGCATTAAGCAAATTGCACTAGATTATTCACAAAATATTGCTGTTTCTCATACTTTACTACACGATGTATACATGGATGATTTGCTATCGGGTTCAAGTACCGATAGTGATGCAATATCACTTTGTAAGGAAATTACCAGTATTTTACAAACGCACGGTTTCCACCTACGAAAGTGGAATTCTAATTCAAATGCATTTCTTGCAGAATTTCAAGAACAATGTTCAACGGACACTAATTTAGAAATAATTTCTAATGATAAGGAAAGCACGAAAGTCTTAGGATTATTTTGGAACTCAACAGACACATTCATTTTCAAACCCGCACTTGCACTCACCGCACCGCTGACAAAAAGACACATTTTGTCCCAATCGGCACGCATTTTCGATCCATTGGGATTAATTTCACCATGTACTGTTGTATTGAAAATTTTTTATCAAAAGCTCTGGCTTACAAAGGGGACTGGGATTCTCCTATTCCACAAAGTCTGTCTTGCTGAAGATTGTTTTAAATTTCAGAAATCTTTCAATGCAGTTGAACATTTTACTGTTCCTAGAGGTGTCACGCTTATTTCCTCTGACACATTTTAATTGCACGGCTTTTGCGACGCTTCAACACTTGCTTCAGCTGCTGCAATATATTGCAAACAAATACACCGAAATGAAATAAAGGTTTCTCTTAGTTTCTAAAACTAAAGTCGCACCTATCAAACAAGTATCTGTTCCTAAATTGGAACTATGCAGTGCTCATTTGCTTTCAAAGTTATATCGTGCAGTCATGAACACTCTCAAAAAATATAAGTTTGATATTTACGCTTGGACTGACTCCAAAGTCGTACTTTCCTGGCTTTCGGCACATCCCCGTAAATGAAAGACTTTTGTTGCACACCGGACGTCTCAAATAATCGAAGTACTTCCAACAAAATACTGGAGGCATGTCCCTTCCAAAGAGAACCCAGCAGATATCGCTTCGCGTGGTATTGATCCGAAACGTCTTCCTAATTGCAACTTGTGGTGGAATGGCCCAAGTTTGGCTTTTTTTGGATTCGTCTCACTGACCGAAAGAGGAATCCGCTTCTAAAGAAATCAAGGATCTAATTAAAGCTGAACAAAGAGTTGATCCTATATTTTCATTTCATAGTGCTACATCAAATGAATTATATAGTGATTTATTTGAAAAATATTCATCATTTTCTAAGATTATACGCATTTTAGCATATTGTTTAAAATTCATCAATAAGTGCAAAACTAATAACAAATGTCAAACATTTATAATTGATTCCTTTTCTCAACTCACTTACACGGAAACTAAAAATTCAGAAATAATCATAATTCGGTGGGTTCAGAAAGATTATTTTAATGAAGACCTAAAATGCATTAAAAATCAAAGAACGTTGCCTAAGAAAAGTAAGCTACACTCCCTCCATCCGTTTATAGATGAAAACAGTCTTTTACGGGTGGGAGGGCGTTTACAAAATTCAGAATTGTCTTCAATCAAAAGCACCCAGTGATTCTACCTTCTAAACACAAATAAGTGAGCTCATCGTCGTAAAGAAAAGCATGTGACTTATTTACATGCTGGTGCTTCATTACTGTCCCAAATTATCAAACAATCATATTGGATAATAGGTGGAAAAAAGGTCATTAATAAATGTGTTCACAAATGCATCAAATGCTTCAAATTTAAGGCATCCGCCGCATCTCAGCTTATGGGTAATCTACATAAGCATCGTGTAACACTCGAGAGGCCTTTCTTCAACTGCGGAGTGGACTATGCCGGCTCTATTTCAATCAAATTCAACAAGGGTCGTGGAGCAAAATCAACCAAGGGTTATATTGCTCTATTTATTTGTCTCGCTACTAAGGCACTACACATCGAGGCAGTGAGTGATTTAACCGCTGATACATTTTTAGCTGCTTTGCGTCGCTTCAGTGCTAGACGAGGAGCTCCAAGTCACATTTACAGCCACAATGCAACAAACTTCGTTGGGGCTAATCGAAAGCTCAGCGAAATACAACGATTGTGGGCTTCACTTCCTAAGAACGAAGCCGTTGCTCATCATTTAACTCAAGCATCAATAGAATGGCACTTTATACCTCCAGCATCTCCTCATTTCGGAGGAATTTGGGAGGCCACAATTAAATCAACCAAATATCACTGTAAAAGAGTAATCGGTGAAACTCTACTTACTTTCGAAGAACTATTCAACTCTATTGGCTCAGATAGAAGCCATTTTAAATTTTCGTCCGTTATGTAGTGTAAACAATACTGACATTGATTGCATTAATATTCTCCCTCCTTCACATTTTCTTACAGGAGACGTGCTCCTATCCCCTCCTAAACTACCTCTTACTAGTCCTGCTAATATACGGAATAGGTGGGATCTCCTTCAAAAGATTCGGAAGGACTTCTGCAAATCATGGACCAAAGCCTATCTTCTCTTCAAACTAGAAAGAAATGGAAGGACACTCAGCCGAATATGAAAATTGGAGACGTCGTCCTGTTACTAGATGATGGTCATCTTCCAGGTTCTTGGCCACTAGGACAAGTGGTCGAACTTCATCATGGTGCTGACGGACTGGTTCATGTGGCCACGGTTAAGACTAAAACCTCTATTTTTAAAAGAAATATTCATAAATTAGCTCCTTTGCCCATATATCAGGGCTAATGCCTGATAGGGTGGGAGTATGTTCCGGTGCACCGGAACAGAACAACTCAACCTGACTCTTTCGCTTCTGGAACTATGCCAAAGAACATTGAATTCATTTGAACAGTCAGACTCAGATGAACGCATTCGCAAGGCAGCTGGCATACTGTCTATTTTTCACTATTTTTGTTGTGTTCTCGTATTTATAAGTTTTATATGTCATTTTCTTGTTTATACTTGTATTGTGCAATTATTTAATATAAGTTTATGTTTAAAACGAGAACGGGTATCTAGTTCATTCACATTACATCGCAACACTGAGCAAACTCCAAAAAGTAGTTACAAAGCAGTATCCGAAAGAGAAATCCACTACACAAATTTTCTTTTATGCAGTTCTTCAGATGTCCTTTTTCTCTCCTGCGTAGTCTGAATGCCCTGAAATACTAATAGTCTGAATGCCCTGAAATTTGCATATCCCAATTTATTCTTCCTTTCTTGTGATTTTTGACGTTCGTCAGATCATTCTTTCCTGGTGTTGCAATTTTAATGGCCAGTAGCGTATTTTAGAGATCCAGATAGAAATGGGTGAACAAAAGAAAGGAAGGAAAACTCAAATCACTGCGTTAAAAGTTTTATGTATGACTCTTAAATGTTATTTTTAGATAGGTAATTTACTAAAACACTCAAAAGATGTTTGCCTTAGGACTGATAGGCTTGACTATTTTGATATTACAATTGAATGCAATGAAACTTAAATGTATCTTCGTTTTGTTACATAAAATTCAATTTTCAAAGAAAATGTTCCGTTATGTTACATTTTGGTACCGAAGAGGACTTTGAATGCATTTTGAATGAAAGCGAATATTTTGAAAAGTGAATTTTGGACCAGGTTATAATTTTCATGAGTTCTGAAAGCAAACTTTAAATGACGAAGAAATTTAAAAGTTCATTAAATAAAGCATTTGACGCATTCTAGTGCGCCCAATTACAAAACTCAAAGTCCAGAGTTACGCAGTAACTTCTCGCACTGCTGTTAAAATGTTAAAGAAATAGGTATTAAATTATTATTTCCAACGACGTTTAACTGCATTAAAGCACCCTTTTTGGGACAGTCAGTTATGATATTGTATTTTGCATATGAAGTACATCTAAACTGCAGAGCTTAGAAAAGTTTATCATTTTAATGCATTTAATGAAAACATATTCAGGAAACTATTAAATGACGAGAAATTCAGGAAAATAAACAGTTATTGGTTATAAACTATTTTTGTGAATTCCTCGAACAAATATTTTAAAATACAGAGCCTAGTGAGAAACTTACGACTGGGATGATAATAGAAAACTATCACTTTCAACTATCAACCCTCATACTTCTGCCTGTTGGGCAGAAACCTTATTTGCATCACTATTAACCATTCTTGAGTCAGTAGAGGTGACTTAAATCGTAATGGTAAATGCATTTTAAAACATTCCAAGTTTTAAAGTTCTTATCAAAGAAGAACGTTCCTTGTTAGAAAATATTAAAATATGTCATGCTCAATAATTTGAAAAAGAGCCGAGAAGATAATGTTTTATTTATACACATATAAAGGAATTATTTCTACATGGACAATGTTGTTTAAAAACTGACTGACAAGATTAATATTTTTTTTGCTTGCTCAGTTACATGAAGTGAAAATTTAATGATTATATCTGGAAATTAATGAATTAAAATCTCTATGAGGGATATAATGGACATTTTTCATTCCTGAGCTGTAATAAATAAAACCGATCGATAATGTATTCCTTTCACGTAACCTGCAACCACATGAACACAAAAGGATTTGGTCTTCAAATAATCACAGATATTTCAAAGGTCGTTACGAAACTTAATGGCGTTTAACTTCCAGTACGTCTGTACCGGAAAATGAGTTTTTTTTCTTTATCACATATCTATTCTTTGTACATAATACTTGCAGAGACTACATGAAAAAATAACAATTTAACTGAATTCTCCATATTTTTGCATGAATTATTTTTTATGTCTTGAATTGTTTATATTATTGGCATACTATCATTAAATAAAAATAGCAAAAACCCTAAACTCACTCATATAAGTTTTTCAAAAGCGCAGGCCAATATGGTTCAATAAATTATACATTTGTTTTCACTTACGAATTTAACTAATAATAGGGATAGTATTTCATGCTGTTTTCCTCCTTTGCCAAAGTTCGCTTCTTGTTTGTTTCTTTCTGCAGTTTAATTTCAATTCTCAACAAAAAGGTAGAGTAAAATTTCCATCACTCAAATTCAAGTCGCAGTTTTATAACTTCTTTTAGCGCTGAAGCTTGTACTTCAGGAAAACTCAGCATTATAAAATTCTCCGTTAATTTAAGTACGATGTCTTTAAATCTTTCTTATAAACATTTTAGCTCACCTTCCTTCTTGTTTTGATGCATCTAAGGTACTACTCTTCGCTTTTTTATATTTTGCGAATAGTTCAGGAATATCTTTAGCAATTGCTTCATCTAATTTATCCATTGGACAACCTCGGAAGTAACTGCATGTTGAAGCTAGAGGTTTGAAATCATAAAGAGAATGGAGCTTGAAAAACTCCTTGTAAGCGACTGGGTCAGGAAGATCATAGCGACTTACATTTGTCATGCTGCCGATACCATCAAATATGTTATATTCTCGAGGATTCTCTGTGATTAATTTTGCAACATTTTTCTTACTACTGAAAATTGATTTATGTCTGTAATATGTGGCTAAATAACAGTCCACCATTTTGGCATGGTTTCGAACTCGCACGGCGTGCCTCCTGGCATATAAAATTCTGTTTTCAACTTTTTTGTCCAGTGTATCTTTCATGTCATACAGAAAATTTTTCTCCTGGTCTGCTAGAAACTTAGCAGGCGCTGACGGATGGAAGGGTTTCGTCGTTAAAGAGACGGCATAGATAATGGGAGCTTCAGTGCTGCTCATCAAAGGAGATAAATTCCAAAAGAGTTGTCCGACCACACGCATTAAATCACTACGTCTGATAGTGTCTGCTTTATTGAGGATGAAGCGGACGTCCCGTCCTTTAAGTTGATCAATCACAGATCCGAGTTCACCACCAATGTCGACTTTTGTAGGATCAAGAACTACATAAATAGCGTCCGCACGGTCGATGAACCATTGGAAAGCGTCATTGAAAGGATAACCTCTTTCAGTATTTTTCCGATTCTCCAGTATTCCAGGAGTATCAACTATAGTCACCTTTAAAAGAAAAATGCAAAATAAGAGGTTATTCAGAATAAAGTTGTATGAAATTCTTGAAAAGAGGACTTTTTAATTAATTAATAATTAAACTTCTAATAAATTAAGTAATTAAGTTTCTTAATATTTCTTGCAATTTTCTTTCGGGTTCTATGTATGACACAGCATGTAGAACCCGCATGAATTTCTCTGTCCGCAGTTTCATTTAAAATTTGATAACGATGATTCCAACCTTTTTATTTATATTCTCTCAGCATTAGTATCTCTAAGGATAATAATTTCTCTTCATTTTTCTGTTTCCGAATTTTATGGTATAATTCTTTTTATAGATAAACTTATATGTATATATATGAAAGTAGAAAGATAATATGAACAAGGGAGACCTTAGGGGCTTTTATGCGATAACTTATTAGTTGTTTCTATATGATGTAACTATTTTACACAAGAAGTACAGTGTCAAATGTACATTTTAGCAATAACTTTTTAACATTCCTCTTCTTTGCAAATATATGTATGTATAATTCGAGAAATTTCAAATTTAGATGATATAAATTAATAAAGCCAGTCAGTATGTTGTGATATCAAGTAACAAATAAAAAGATAATAATTAAATCAAAATTATATCTCGAAAGTTCGGCAAATCTCTAACAGGAAAAGCACAAATCAAAATTAAAACAAAAACACAAATTTTCAGAACTGAAACAAAATCAATTCAATATAATTAATAAAATTGATATATATGTGGGATTTTAAATCCATAATTTTAAATCCTTAATAGTTTTCTTCGCGCGCTGTCTAAATTTTAGCTGTTAGCACGAGTGAAATTGATAGAACTCTCGCCACTTTGTTTTATGAGAAGAGATATAAGATGTTGTTTTATAGATGTAAGATGATATAGATATTGTATTAATAGATGAACGGTCTTATAGATGTATTAATGTTTTATTAAATGTGTTTTGTTTGAATATGAATTGTGATTTTGAAACTAAAGAACCCACAAAATTGGTGTCAGAAGTGGGATCAAATTACAAACAACGAATAGAGGAATATGAAGCAATATTGGATGATAGAAGAAATATTTCTGTTAATAGTGAAATCGATGCATCAACTGCTCGAATTTTCAAAGACTCTTATTTTGCTGCTATTGATAAAGTTCATGAGCTAAAACGAAATATTAGTAAGTCATCAGTTCAATTTCCATTTTCACAGTTTTCAAATGCGTATATAAATTTTAATGATATTGAAAGCTTGATTTCTAAATTTGATGGTAATCCGTATAATTCGGTTCACAAATTTATTGAAAACTTTGAGGATGTATCTAATTTGTTAAAACTAAATGAATTGCAGAAATTGATATTCGCCAAAAGATCTTTAACTGGTAAAGCAAAATTATTTATTGAAAGTGAAATGAAAATTAATTCGTGAAATGCAGATAAGGCTTTATTAGTGAATGAATATGGTGTTCAGTATAACTCTGCTCAGTTACACGAATTATTATCAAAACGTAAAATGCAGGAAAAAGAATCCCTTTATGAATGTTTTTTGGTAATTAAAAATCTGTGTTCCAAAGGTAATATTGAAAACGCCGCTTTATTTGAATATGTTATTAATGATTTAGTAGCTATCAAAAGAAGGCAATTTAAACCAAACCTTAAGATAAAATCAAAGTATTTAGGCTCGTCTAAGATTGTCAAAATAAAGAATAATGACTCCTGTGACGTTGTAAAAGAAGATCAGGAAGGACCCATTAAAACAACTGCATGCACTGAATACATAAAACCATGGACTTAAGTAGAAGATGCATAAAATAATACTGATTATGACATTTAAACCTGGCGTGACAGAACTGATAATCGAACTGTGATTTTTCACCTAATAATGACTTTTATTTCAGTTAATGCTATTTTAAGATTGCAAATGAAGTTTTACCAAAATGTTAAAGATTGAAGATATTTTTCGATTTATATGAAATTTTCTGAAAAGTAGAAGGGACTGTTGACGATATTATAGTTGCAAAGATGAAGGACAATTAAGATGTTTCCTTTCAATATTGTTCTTAGCACACAGTCTTCCTCTCTCCCTTCGTATTTCTTTTCAGGTTTCGGCTTATTCATGGTGATGGTTCTTTTACCGAAGAGAACGATGATGTAAGATGACCAATGATTTATGATGACAAGAGTAGAAATGTCGTCGAGGTCGACGCATAGCCGAAGGTGGAATACGCATAGCAGGAAGGCCGAATGTGGGATTTTAAATCCATAATTTTAAATCCTTAATAGTTTTCCTCGCGCGCTGTCTAAATTTTAGCTGTTAGCAAGAGTGAAATTCATAGAACTCTCGCCACTTTGTTTTATGAGAAGAGATATAAGATGTTGTTTTATAGATGTAAGATGATATAGATATTGTATTAATAGATGAACGGTCTTATAGATGTATTACTGTTTTATTAAATGTGTTTTGTTTGAATATGAATTGTGATTTTGAAACTAAAGAACACACATATATATACATATATATACATAAATGTTGAATATTCCTAGGTCTTTCCCTAGGAGCAGCCGCAGAATTTTCAACAGACACGTTTTCTAATTACAACCAGAGGATTTTTAGTAACGAAAATATATTAATAAATAAATAAAAAATTTAAAGAAAAAACAATTAATGACATTTAAAGGAAATGCCAATTAAGATAATTTAGTTAAAATTAAATTTATTAAGTGCAGCGCAGTAAATTGTTTAGAAATTTTTTAATCTAATTAATCATTAAACCGTAACCTGCCCCGGTGTGCCCTCAAATATATATGATATATATATATATATATTCTAAATTAAATTAGAAGTAAATTAAAAAGGCCTATGACTTGCGCTAAAACTGTAAAGTAATAAACCAATAATTCCTAATAATTTATAATAAGAAAATTTTCCATATACCATCTCGAAGGAACAGAAATTCAATCTAAAACCGTGAACTAGGAAAACAAATTTTTTTAGTCAGTATTTTAATTAGTATTTGAAATTAGTATTTTCTAAACCTCCTTTGCTTTAAAAACATAAAAACCTGTTAAGAAAATTTTTAATCACAAAAATATCAAAATTAAAAGTAAAAATTGTCATTGATCGCAGATTAATCGACTTATCAAGGGGAATAAACCAATCTACCCTCAGTTAACAATAACTAAATTAAAAGAGAGTGTTTCGTCTTACTTCCAAGTAAGCATAAAATGTTTTTCTATATCCAAATCATAAGTCACAAAATAATACTCAATCAAAATAAAGACATTAGTTCATTTAAGCTGAAAGAATCCTGTTAAAAAATAAATAGCAAATAATCTTTAAAATTAAAGTTGCTCACTAAGAATAAACGGGATGCTCACTTTAGAAGATATATCCCTGACATCCTCAATTTCAAACTCAAATAAGTAAAAACAAAAGTATTATTAAAACATTAAAAAGTAATTTAAAATCTTAAGAAGATAAAAAATGATAGAATCCTTAAAATTTAAAATTAATTCCGTTTAGACATTCAAAATCATAGCTGTTAATATCCTATATATGTAATCATTTTTAATTAAATTTAACTAATATTTGTTTAGGCCATTGCTCTTAATTTACCTAATGGTAACCTATACTTTTTGTTATTTTTTATACTTATTTATATGTTTAGCACATGGCTTTCGATTTACCCGATGATAATTCAGGTTTCTTACTCAAAATTTAATTAGTTATATAACAGAATTTTTTTGATTTATTCTCGCTTCTTACTCCAAAATTCTTTTTATTATCGTTTTATCGTTTTAAGATGTTTATAATCTTTATTTTGGGATCACTTCGGACCGGGTTATTTCTTGACGATTAATTAGAATAAAAAAACTACTTTGTTACGCTTTTAGAGCAATTTATTTTAACTAAATTATCTTAATTAGCATTTTCTTTTAATTTCATTAGCTGGCCTTTTAATTAAAAAAATTTTTAAATATTTTCATTACTAAGAAATGTCTTAATATAACTCAGAAACGGGTCTCTATTGAAAATTCTTGGGTTGAATCCTTGAAAAAGACCAAGGAATTTTTAAAAATTTTTCAAAAATATTTTTTATCAGTTTTATTAATTTTATTGAATTGTTCTTGCTTCAGTTTTTAAATACTTGTGTTTTTGTTTTAAATTCTGAGACCTGTTATAGGTTTGCCCATCTTTCGTGATATAAGTTTTATTTAAATATTATATATATATTGATTATATTATGTCTTAATATACATTTAGTAGAAGTATCAAAAAAGAGGGAACCCGTATGTAGGAACTTTAATTCCGAAAATTGTGTTTTAAAGTAACTTGAACGTAAATTATGAAAAAACGTTTTACGGGGACTTGAATTTAAATCATGAATAGCAAAATTTCAAACTTTGAAAAAGAAACTAAAAATTAAAAACAAGTAATTATCGCTATTGATCGGAAATTAGTGAAGCTAACAAAACGTTAACTTGACAAATTTAGTCTTTATTTCCACGCCTATAAAATCATCTCAATAGATATTTATCCAGTCATAATGAAATCCAATACATTTATATGATTCTATGATTCAATCATAATGAAATATGATAAATTCTTATACACATTTTTTCTAAAAAAAGGAAAGACGCAGGCATTTTACAGAAGCGAATCGAGGAGATATTAGCAAGGTAGAAGCTAGCAGAATAATAATGACGTAACTAGCTCGCCAGAGGTATTTATATCAAAGTAGGTGCGATTCTAGTGACAAGCTATAATTGGTTAATATTAGTTTTAGTTGCCCTTTTCTAGTAACGTTACTTAACGTAGAAAAATCTCGAACTTTTTGTCTCGAACATATTATAAATACATTGTAGTTTTTGAGAAATTATAATGTATACAGAAGTGGTTAAATAGATAAAGACTGCTAAATTCATGGCTCGACTCTCCAAGAGCGGCTTTTGATAGTTTGCCATTTTGAAACAAACACGTAAACCTGAAGAAATTTTGCATGA